AATGTTTGGTAAACAAGTATTTGCTCTGCCATGCAGAGACAGTGGGACACAAAGAGGAATCTGGTCTTCAGGCTCTGCTGAGTGCCCCACCACACCTGGCCCATGTTCTCTGTAGCTATCTCGGGTGCAGAAATAAGCAGCAGGCCCTTTGTCTAAATTCTTTTAGTCAGTTAAGGGGGAGGTAAAAAAGACTTCCTGAGTCTCGAGTTTCTTAAAAATAATCAGCCTAACGTCATCCTCATGCCAAAGAGATATATTTTGGGGTGGCAAATTTTGCTCCCCTACAAGGGTAAGCTACATAAATGATTAAAGGAAAGAAGAGAATACTTTGATATTCCTTATTCACTTAATTGCTGAATAAAAACTCCTCAGCCTCACTTCAGACTTAAATAGTTTTCTGGGAATGGAGCTCAGAAATCTGCTTTAAAAAAAATCTGGTGATGTCCATTTTGAAAACTCTGTGGAGTGGGTAGCAATAGTTAAAGTGTTGTTTAGTTTGAAATCTATGTTTTTACATAAACCATGAACATGCTTAAAATATAGCATTTTCATTTCCATTTATAAATCAGTGTTGTTCAAAAGTCTGAACTCCTTAAACAGTGGACCCGCAGAATAAACTCACTTTCGTCCACTGCAGAAAATGGAGACCTAAGGGTTCTGACAGTCTGGACTAACCTACAAGTAGTGTAGCCATTTGGAAAAAGGAAGTCATAATCTCTGTGTCATATCTTTATTACACTGTTCTCCAAAATGATACAATCTGTAAATTAATAAGTGTGAAAACAAGAAATAAAACTACAAAAACTTTAGCATGTATGAAAAAATTTTGATGTTGGGCTAAGAAAATCTTTAAATCCTCAAATGCTTAAAGCCAAAGAGGAAAACATAGATACATTTGGTTATATCAGTATATCTTGTATAGCAAGATGATATAAGTAAAATTATTACAAATTACAGCAAAGAAAATATTTGTAATTCATTCAGTTGGGGGAGGATTAATAAGTCAAATAATAAAAATAAGTACTCTGTAAGACAATGAGTAGAAATGAGCAAATAATGTAAAACCAGCACTTACAGAAGAGGCAATTCATGTGTCAAATCTTAGTATCCAGGAAAATTCACCAAAAATGTATGAGTTTGATTATATCTCTGATTTGGATGAACATATAGGAAAATAGATATTCATAATCTGCTGTTAACTAGATCTGTCTTGATAGATACCTCTGAGTTTTCCCTCATGGGTTGCTGTTCACTTTACACTTTTAGTCCACATCTTGCCTAGAAGTGGAACTGCTGTTGATGGGGAAATAGAATTAAGAACACAACCTCCTCCCAACCCAGAAAACCTCCCCACAAAGTTAGACCAGAATGAAAGCACTTATTATTGAATAAGCATGAAACCAGAACGTGATCGTCACAGGCAATATGCTAAGAGATTGTAAAAACAGGAAGAAGTCTTACCCTTTCATATAGCCCAGCAGATCCGACCCGTTCCATGCGTGTTCTCAAGGTACACAATAACTAGTCCTCAGATAAGAGGGCTTATCAGCTCCATTTTTCACACATAGCGAATCTTCAATTCACTTAATAACTGGGGTTATTAGTTTGCATTAGCTAACTGAGTTTATCCAAAGGAAAAATAAACCTCTTATGTCTTTATGGCAGGAGGAAGTTTTACAAGTTGGCATGAGGCTTCCACCAAAGTTAGGCTTCCCCCTCCCACAGAAACTGGGAGACAGGACCCTATCTTCCTTGATGATCACATTTCAAAGAGATGGCTCCTAGGCCCTTGAGCAAGCTGATGAGAGACATTCAGCTTTAAAAACGATTTTCATACATTCCAAAGAGACAGAGAAAGAACTTACAAGTTTTCAAGTGTAAATACTCTCAGAAAAAAGGGAGAGCACAGGCAGAGAGAGTCTCTTCCCTTATTTTCCACTGGGAGAATCAAGCCTCTTAATACTTTTAATTTGCATTTGCCTTTACTATCAACTCTGGGTAACCATTTGCTTATGTGTACAAAGGAGAATATGGAGGAGCTTGTTCACTGCAGCATTGATTGGATAGACATGCAAAAAAGTTAATCTGAATGTTTATCTGTAGTGGAAAAATGAAATGGACGATTGAATATCCATACAAGGAGATACTGTGCAGCAGTATAGCAACAGTTATATAAAAATATGTATTAAGAATTTAAAGACTTTGTACAGCTAAATACCAAGTTCCTGATTATAATTGCCTCAGGGAGAAGCTAGACCTGTGGATATTGGTCAAGGCTGACTTGAGCTGTTTAGATAATGTTTACAGTTTTACGGTACAGTTCATTTTACATCGGTCAGTATGTTCCCTACACTACCACTGAAATGAAGAGGAACATTTCCATTTAAAACATAATACTTAAAAAAATAAAAGCTGCTTTGAATGATCTTTAATGTTTACTACATTTAATAACATCACTTATAATTTGGCTCTTCTTGGATCTTACATATATTAGTTTACTTGCTAAGTCAGTTAACTTTCCTAAGATTAATAGCTGGACTTATTCAGCTCAGAGTTTAAAATGTACATCTCCATTCGCATGGGGTGAATTTTTGCTGCTCACTCTTGCCAGTCTTCAAGAATAAACAATTGTGCAATTTAAAGAACAGGATTTATCCACATGTGAAATCATATGAACTACCCATTTCTTTTCCAAAACTGGATTTTGTTTTGAAATTTGAATATAGAAAACCACTATTCTTTTTATTTCTGATTCTCCAAGTTTTGTGTGTATGGTGGGATGAGGAGGTAGGAATGTAGATGATATAGGTTAGAGTTACATATAAAATACTTCTAGAGGGCTTCCCTGGTGGCGCAGTGGTTAAGAGTCCGCCTGCCGATGCAGGGGACACGGGTTCGTGCCCCGGTCCGGGAGGATCCCACATGCCGCGGAGCCGCTGGGCCCGTGAGCCATGGCCGCTGAGCCTGCGCATCCGGAGCCTGTTGCTCCGCAACGGGAGAGGCCACAACAGTGAGAGGCCCGCGTACCGCAAAAAAAAAAAAAAAAATACTGCTAGAACTACATACATATTAGTAAATCAATCTATTGCCTCTGAAAAGTCATCTAAATACCATCTGGCATTGTCCTACTAGTCCATTAGCATTTCCCAAATCAAACTAATTATCTTTCAATCTTCTTCCCATTGCCAAACCTGCTCTAGAGGTTGAAGTGTTTATATATTACAAATTTTATGTTCACTCTAAGTTAACATGTGATGCTATCTTTTAGTAGTATGATTATTTTGTTGATCTTTGTGAACCACGCTAAATTTATACCTGCCATTTCTCTCCCTTTAAGAAAACTTTGCTTTTGAGTTTTTAGTATAGCTTTAGTCATACTGTTAAATTGTGATTTGAGAGCCTACAGAACTTTAAAAAAATACAGTAATTGCTTTAAGTGAAGTCATAATAACATGGGTTGAACCTGGCTTCAATTTCAATTCAATGTAATGCTTTGCTGTCTGTGGTTTAGAGATGAAATTCTGAGGATTTCTTTTATTCATTAAAAACTGAGATACTCTCCAAATTTTTTTCTCATATGGAAATTTAGTACTGTAAAGTACTGTAGTACTTTCGAGCCAGTTTGCCTCAGAATGATTATAATAGCTGGGAGTAGAATCTAATTTTTGTAGTATAACACCTTTAAAAATTGAATATATACTCTAGGTATTTTTTGTTGTACTACTTGAGCATATTTCTATTCAATTCTGTTTAACAAGGTGATTAATGATAAATTCATTGCCTGTTGCAATTGATGTGTAATATGTATAATAGTTGTCTCTACAAAGAAAGGAATTATGATTAAAATAGGAACTGATGACAGGATAGATAAATGAGCCATTCCTTAAATACATATAAAGCTAAGCATATTATATTCTAAAATAATGGTCACTGTTAACCAAAAATCAACTTATATTCAAAAATTTAAAGACCCATCTCAGTATAAAATGAAGACTGATTGGTAAATCAATGTTAAGTTTAAAATATTATGTTCCTATGATTTTAATTTATATATTATAATATTTCAATGTTTTGTCACCATACCCTTTAATTTACCTATAAAGGGAACATGAAATGAACACTTCACTCTGTAGCAGACTTTTACATGACTCAATGAAGGACCCCAAAGAAGAATTTACTTCCTGTAAATTTTAAGATAGTTCTAGGATGAACCAACCTAAGCTGAATCAAGAGTATATGAAATCCACTCCTGTACCCAGCTCTTTAACTCATTGTTATTTAAGACTGTCCTGAATTGTGGGTGCCAGACAGAATCTGATGTGATAACTAAGACTTTACTCAAATCAATGGTCATGCGCAGGCATGTGCTACCATTGGAATGTCAGCACCAAAATCCTTACTTACAGTTCAAAGGAGACAACTAAAAGTTTTCTGCTCTCTAATTCCCCATGTAATATATTAAATCAACAGGTAAAGAAGGGAAGTGATATTTATTTTCTTCTTAAGGATCTGGACAAGCTTCCAAATGGCTACTTCAAGTAGTGATATTTTTGGAACTGCATATTGTGAAAGAGTTTGTCTTTTAACCTTTACTAAATGACATATGTGTAAGTACATTTTTGAAGCCTTCTTGTTCCTTTAAAACCAAGGTTAATGGTGAACTTGAAAGAGAAAATGAAATAGGTCTGTCACATGGAATTACCTACGAGCTTCTGCACCCACTCAGTCTGCTTATATAGAGAAGAAATTTAGCCAAATCCTGCTAGGTCCTTAAATGTAATTTTTCTTTCTGTTCCCAGGCCTCATGTTTTAAATAAAATATCCAATATGCCATAGTTTGTTAACTCTGTTCTAACATTAGTTTTATAAGTCACTTTAAAAAGTTGTAGTTCATTATTTCTAAAGCAGCATTAGTTTACAGGAAATTAATGTTAACTCTTTAAAGAATAAGTCTGAAATAAAGATGAGGCATTATACGTTGAATTCAAAATCATTGTCCTATTTAATAACCATGATCGCTTGCTTCTGAAAAAGCATTATGATGTGTAACAAGATAATTTGGCATTTTTAAGAAAAATCACATTGTTAACTATGTCAGAACTTTATAACCAGATCAGAATTTATACAAAGATATCAGAAAAAAAAAAAAAAGGAAGGAAACAGCAGTGAAAATTTTACCAAGGAACAGCTATATAACCAACCATATTTCCAAGATTTATTTTTTAAACCAGAGATGCATCAGAATTAGGAACTTAGGGCAGATGCACCCTGTTATTAATTGAATTAGGTCCCCCACAAAAGAAATGTTGAAGTCCTAACCCCCAGCACCTCAGAATGTGACCTTATTTGGAAATAGTATGGTTACAGATGTAATTAGTTCAGATGAGGTGCTGGCATAGGGTGGCCTCCCAATACAATATAACTGGTATCCTCATAAGAAGATGGCCACATAAAGACATAGACAGGGAGAATGCCATGTGAAGACAGGATTGGAGTTCCTTGACAGCTACAAGTAAAGGAACACCACAGATTGCCAGCAAAGCACCAGAAACTAGAAAGAATCAGGGAAGGATTCTTCTACAGGTTTTGGAGGGAGCACGGCACTGCTGAAACTTTGATTTTGGACTTCCAGCCTCCAGAACTATAGACAATAAATTTCTGTTGTTTAAAGCCACCCAACTTGGGATACTTTGTTACAGTAGCCCTAGGAAATGAATACACACTCCAATACCACATCTACTTACATTATTGGTCAGAGAAAGCTCAGAATATTTTTTGAACCCAAAAACATTGCTGTTAGTAGCAGAAGGGCTTCTCAGTTGCAGACTTCTGATCATTGTAGAGCTGTTTAATCTACTATTTAGTATTCATAACAATAAGTTATTCTTTAAGAGCTTCATTTAAGTTTTATTTGTTTGATTCCATTTAGAACAAGCTTCCTTCAAGAAAAAGTTCATTTTGAGAAATCTTCAAATCTTCTTAAGATAAAATTAAAAAAAAAAGGATGTTAATTTTGCTCCATGTAGAATTGAGATGACAAAAACTCCAAAATCATGTACAATGACATCTGTGATAGATAATCTTGAAGCCAGATATAATAAAGAATCTAAATAATAATAAGAAAAATAAGTCTTAGAGAAAAACCAAGTGTTCAAAACATATTTTTTCCATTAATCAAATTTCAAAACAAAAGACTTGGCTAGAATGTTGTAATGAGGCAATTTTCTAGTTTTGAGTGTGTAGAAACTAAGAATTTAAATAACAATGTCATTGAAAAGAGTGCTGTGGTCTTCCAACCATTTTCAATAATTGAAGAGGAGAATTTTTTAGATTTTCACAAATTATGAATTGTAGTAAAAATTCCTTTTAGAAGACATTAGTAAAAAAGCTTTTTTTTTTTCCTGAATTACATTCTGGTGTGCAAAAAACAACTTTTTTTTTAATGTTAGTGGTATTAAGTGTTCTCCTGAATCTTATTCTGAAAGTATCTTATTTCATGATATAGCGTCAATGAAATATCATCACCACCATAAGTCAAGTCTTCAAGTCCAGAAATTGTGGGGGAAATAAATGCATATTTTAGTTATTGTTTGAAAGGAAAAAAAACAACGTCACCATCATCGGTAACCTGTACTGGAAGAGCAGACCAAAAAAGAAAAAAGAAAGTTCAGTTTGTTTAGTTGAAGTGAACATCAATTTTGTATGACGGATTACATATAGTAGAGTAGACAGGAACTATCTAGCTGCTGGTGATACTGACAAACTATTTCTCTGCATTATAATGTTAAACTTCTAAAATTTGATTACTAAAGCATTTTTAATAATAAAATTGTGGCCACTAAATTTTTGATGCAATTTTATGTTTAATTCTACATACCAACATTTCCTTCTGTTATGTTAAAGACGGGTTATTCAATATTCTGCTGAAGTAAGTATACTGTATACCTTGAAATTTTAAAAATGATATTAGCATGAGAATAGCCAGATAGATCACAGGGTTAGAAAGTCCAAAACTGAGTCTAAAAGCATTTGGAAATGTAGTGTATGAAGGGATGTTATTTCATATCAGCAAAGAAAATTTGATTATTGATAAAATGTGTTGAGATAACTGAGTGGTCATTTAGGGGAAAATGTTGGCTCCCTAGCTCTAATTTTTTATCCAAATTAATTTCAGATAGATTAATAATTTAAATGAAAAAAATTACTAAGATAAAACATGAGATTTTTAAAAAATCTTGAAATTGGGGAAGTCTTTTTAAGTATGACACAAAATCTGTTACTTTCAACCGCACAAAAATAAATAAATACATTGCCAAAACTCATCATAAATAAACTCAAAAGATGATCCTGGAAAAGTATTTTATGTCATAGTTAAACTGCTATTATCCTTGATTTTGAAAGAACTCCTCCTACAAGTCAAAAAGACCAGAAAAGGAGCAATGAATAAGCAGAAACAGCTAATTGAAGAGGAAACACAAATGACCATTAAACAGATGAAACGATGCTGAAACACACTCACAAAGATGCAAATCCAAAACTACACTAAGATACCATTTTTCGTCTATTAGATTGGCCAAAGAAATAGTTACTAAAATTACTAGGGTGTGACAGAACAGCGTCTCATTGCTGAAGAGAATGAAAGGTGGCAAAATGTATATAAAGGACGAATGGACAATACCTATCAAAATTACAAATGCCATTTTACGTTGAATTTCCCATAGCCATTTATCCTACAGATATTCTTGGAAATTTGTAAATTTAGTTCATGTTGCAAGGATATTCATTGCAGCAATGTTTATAAAAGCAAAAAACTGGAAATCGTGGATTAGAAAAAGAATGCTGTGGTGGTATTACTTTCACAATCAGATAAAAACATTGATATACAAAAGGTACGAATCCTTTATATGGGAACATAACAATTTCATAAGTTATTCAAAAGGACTTTGAAAATTAAGTGCTAAAGCAACTCCAGTCTATTCTGAATGGTAGAAATAAAACCTTTCTTAGGCACTGTACATCCTTGATTTAGCAGTGAGGGATCAGTTATTGTCGTGGTGGTTGTTATGTGCCAGCTCTTAACTCTGGCTCTTAAGGCTCTGTGGAAGCAGAAGATAAAAGCTAAGGTAGAGTTTTAAACTTCATGGTTTAGTATTGAAGGCAAACCTCTTGGCAAAGACTGGGCTATTTTGTGGCTCCAGGACTTTAAGGAAATCTCTGTCCAGTCATTAGCTAACTACTAACCTAGTGGAATAGATATTTCAGCGGTCACACATGACAAAAGATACATACTTTCCAAAATTAGTTCAGAAAAATCATTAAACAAACAACAACGGCAATAATCAGCAACATCAACAAACCTAGCTGGGGGACTGGAAGGGAGAGAAATTGATTTCCAGAGTTTCCCCATTATAAGATTCACAGTGCTCAGTTTTCAATGAAAAAATTACAATGCATGCAGAGAAACAAAAAAAGTATCTCGGAGAAAACTCAGACATTGGACTATCTAAACAAAACCTCTAAATTAGCTATTTTAAACATGTTCAAAGAGCTGAAGGAAACCATGAATAAAGAACTAAAGGAAAGGATGAGACTGATGGCTCATGAAATAGAGAATATAAATAAAGAAGTTATAAAAAGGAACCAAATAGAAATTCTGGAATTGAAAAGTAGAATAACTGATATGAAAAATTCATTAGAAGGTCTCAACAGCAGGCCAGATTTGAGCAAGCAGAAGAAAGAATCAGTGAACTTCACAATTGAAATTACCAAGTCCCAGAAAAAGAAAGAAAAAAGAATGAAGAAAAATGAACAGAACCTCAGAGACCTGTGGAACATCATAAAATGTACTGACGATCATAAGGGAAGTCCCAGAAGGAGACTAGACAGAAAAGGGCAAAAAAGAATATTTGAAGAAATAATGGTCCAAACTTCCCAAATTTGTTGACAAACATTTATCTGTAGAGCTCAATGAACTCTAAGTAGAATAAACTCAAACTCCATACCTAGACATATCATAATCAAACTGTCCAAAGCCAAAAACAAAGAGAATCTTGAAAGCAGCAAGAGAGAAATGATACATCATGTGTAAGAGATGCTCAATAAGATAAAGAGTGGTTTCTTATTAGAAGCTATGGAGACCAGAAGGCAATGGAATGACATGTTCAAACTTTCAACTAAGAAATCTATATCTGACCAAACTATCCTTTGAAAATGAAGGTGACATTAACACATTCCCAGATCAAGAAAAACTATGAGAGTTTGTCACTAGCAGACTTCTAGAACAACTGCTAAAGTTATGTTTATTGGAGTCATTCAGGCTGAAATAAAAAGACATTACACAGTAATTCAAATCCACATGAAGAAATAAAGAACACCGATAGAGATAACTAACTACCTAGGTAAATATAAAAGACAGTATAAATGTGTTTTTGTTTGTAATTCATTTTTTCTACCTGACTTAAAAGAATTGCATAAATCAATAATTATAAATCTGTGATAACAGGCACACAATGTATAAAGATGTGATTTCTGATAACAGCATGAAGGTGGAGGATGGAGATACACAGGAACAATGTTTTTATATATTATTGAAATTAAGTTGACATTGTTCTAAACTAAAGGAGAAATACAAAATCTTACTACAAGAGACTGATTTAGTAATCAAACAAATGCCAAAAAAGAAAAGTGTAGGACCAGAGGGCTTTACTGATAAATTCTACCAAGTACATAAGGAAGAATTAATGCCTACATTTCACTAACTCTTTCAAAAAACAGAAAGAGGGGACTTCCCTGGCGGTCCAGTGTTTAGACCTGTCGGTCCAGGGTTAAGACTCTGCGCTCCCAATGCAGGGGGCTCAGGTTCGATTCCTGGTCAGGGAACTAAGATCCTTCATGATGCACAGTACAGCCAAAAAAAAAAAAAGGCATACACGTCTCAGCCAATAAATAAATAAATAAAACATCATGATATTAAAAAAAAAAAAAAAGCAGAGAAAGACGGAACACTTCCTAACTCATTCTATGAGGCCAGTATTACCCCAATGCCAAAGGCAGGAAAAAGCATCACAGGAAATGAAAACTACAGACCAATATCCCTTGTGAGTATAGATGCAAAAATCTTCAAAAAATTCTAGCAAACTAATTCCAGCAGCATTAAAAATAATTATATACCATTACAAGTGGAATTTTTCTCAGGAATGCAAGATTGGTCCAACCTGCAAAAATAATCAAAGTAACATCATATTAATAGAATAAAGGAAAGAAAACACATGACCATTTCAATATATGTAGAAAAAGCATATGACAAAATCCAATACTATTTCTTGATGAAAACACACAACAAACTAGGAATGGAAGGGAACTTTCTCAACATGATAAAAGCCAACTATTGAAAACCTAAATGATTTTGATGATTAATGATGAAAAACTAAAAGCTTTCAGGAACAAGATAAGTATGTCTGCTTTTGCCACTTCATTCAACATTGTACTGGAGGTTCTAGCCAGGGAAATTAGTCAAAAAAAAAAAAAAGAATTAAAAGACATCTAGATTGGAAAGTAAGATAAAATTATCTCTATTTGGAGAAAACATATTATATACAGAAAACCCTAAAGAATTCACTAAAACGATAGTAGCTTTAGTTTTAAATAAACTAGCTCTGCAAAGGGTCAGTGTTCAAGATCAGTGTACAATATACAAAAATTAGTTATATTTCTATACCACAGCAATGAGCAATCTGAAAATGAAATTAACAAAGCAGTTCCATTCACAATACATCAAAAAGAATAAAATACTTAGGAATAAATTTAATCAAGGAAATATAAGATTTGTACACTAAAAACCACAAAATATTATTTTAAAAAATGAAAGATCTAAATAAATAGAAAGACATCCTGTGTTCATGGACTGAAAGACTTAATATTGTTAAAATGACAATAACCCCCCAAAATTATCTACGGATTAAATGCAAGCCCTGTGAAATGTCCAATTGCCTTTTTTGCAGAAAAAGATAAGCTGATCCTAAAATTCATATGGAAATGCAAGGGACATCTGATCCTAAAATTCATATGGAAATGCAAGAGACATCAAATAGCCAAAACAATCTTGAAGGAGAAAAAAGTGAGAGGGCTTACACCTTCTGATTTCAAAACTCACCCCACAGCTACAGCAATCAAGACAGTCATAGGGTCAGTACAGAGTCATAGAGTAGGTGCTGTGTCATATAATAAGTTCCTCTACACTACACACAATAACAGTTTGGTGGACTTTTTAAAATTGAATTTCCCAATAAGAGGTAAATGTTAACGAAAGGGAAGACACTAAATCTTTAATTTAGATTTATCATTTATAACTTTGTTTATTGAGTTTGCTCATACATGAGCATACCTGCTCTGACACTTGAACTGCTCATCTTTGTGAAAAAGAAAAGGAAATTATGTTTGTGCAATTTGCAGAGCTCAGTATTAAGCTGCAAGTATGACATTGTAGCTTCTCTCTGTTGCTATGGGCAAGTTACTTGAATGACTTCAACAGATTCTTAAACTGAACAGAAATTGCTTCCCACTCAGTTATAATTTTACCATGCAGAGGCTAGAAATCGGGAATAAATAATGAAGGAGGTCATCCAGGTTCACATTTAATGCTCTGTGTGGGATGTAGCTGTTGGAGAGGGGAAACATAGCCTAGTGGTAGAGAGATCTTTCTTTACGATCTGAAAGAAATTCTGGCAGCTCTGACTTTACTTTCATGAAAGTAAGTGGGAAAGGAAAACCTATATGAAGGAACAAATATGGTTGCTAAAATTGTGCTTTTAAGGTTGTACCTTACAGAAAGAAGTAAACAATCTCCAATTTTAAAAAAAGCATAGAATGTGGACTATAGGTTGATTAGGAATGTGGCATTATTTGCCATATAACATTATTGAGATAAAGATTGAAGAAATGGAAGAGGCATAAGAAATGTTCTTCCTCAAAACACCGTTTATGTAATCCATAGCTGGATTTATTGACAAGGGGTTTGGTGGATTAAAGATGGCCACCATTTCTTTGTAATGCTTTCCTTTGAGAAGTAGAGTTTATTTTCCCTCATCCTGAATCTAGTCTCATCCTGTGACTGCTTAAGTAATAGATAATGGCAGAAGTGACACTGTGCCAGTTCTAGGCTTAGCCTTTTAGAGCACTGACTGGCAACTTTTGCTTCTGTCCTCTGGGAACACTCACTCTTCAAACTCCGCCTTCTAGAGCCCAGCTGCCATCGGTGAAAAGCCCAAGCCACCTGAGGGTCCATGTGAGGTGCTGCCGTCAACATGCCCAGCTGAGCTCCCAGCCTTCAGCCAGCATCAACCAACAGCCATGTGAGTGCGTCATCTTAGATGTTCCAGCCCAATAGAGCCACCCAGTAGCTGTGGCCCCAATGGTGACAGCTCTGGCCTAGAACTACCCGGGCGATCCCAATTAACATGCAGAACGGTGAGGAGTAATCAAATGGTTGTTTTAAGCTGTGAAATTTTGGCTGGTTTGTTATGTAGCCAAACATCAAAACAATCATCTTGCATAATGATGTGTGTTAAAAGTTAGGTGTCACAGATGGCAGAATGAACAGAAAATTAGTAAATTTGACCTGTATCAACGATTATGTCTACAATCTCTCCTCAGAACTTTTCCAGGGGAGTTTTAGCAACTCAAAAGACTGCTTTCAGACCTGATCCCTTTTCTAGAACTAAATTTACATCCCACTGGGTTCTAGACAAAAAGTGTGTGAAAAATCTGTAAGTACCTTTAATTGATTGAAAGTGCTTTCTTTTCTTTAAACTTCAAGCATGGAGACAAAGCTTTTACTTAGAATGTCCTTAGTAAGAGTGTTCATTTGTTTGTTTTGAATAAGATGAAAACATAAGAATGTTCAAGAGTTTTACATTGAACTTTTATGATGTCACTGATATATTTTTAAAATTAGATTAAAACAAAACAAAAGAAAACCACCCCAAAAGACAATAAACCCAGCAGCCCTAAAAGAAAAATTTAGGTTCAGTACACTATGAATAGAAATTCCTATATGTTGAATTAATTTTTGAATTTGGTTTCTGAGTCTTTTGTAAATAATAGGTCAAAATGAATTAGTGGAATAAAATCGCATTGGCAATTTCCTTTTAGATTAATGGATTTTACCTCAGATCCCAGTGTTGAGTTAAATGTAAACATGTGTTTCTGCGGATTGACAGCACACATTTTTCAATACATATAGTCCACTGAGAAACACAGTGCTCTCAGAGTTCAACCTGTCTTCTGGGAATGGTTCTGAGGAAACACCTAATTTTGAGCAAGTTACCAACGCACTCTCCCCTCAATATCTGAATCGTAAAAAAAAAAAAAAAGAATGATAACCATCCCTGCCCAATTTATCTGGAAGGACTGTTCTTCAAAATCAAGTGATCATATATGATGAACATACTTAAGGAGAAGGCTTTTTTTTAAACTAAAATCATTTTGTTGTTGTTCTTGATAATTTTGCTTCCAGTAATTTCATATTTTTTCTTTCAATCCTGGAAACTATTTTAATACACTTTTCTGAGGTCCAACGCTGTCATGTTTTAGATTGTGGTGTCTTTGCCTGCTTTGCTTATATGGGTCTCTGAAGTTAACTGATATTTAACTGGAACATAAACTGTGGCAGAAATATTGGGGAGAGAAGAGAAAAATAATCATACGTAGAGAAAATAAAAACTAAGGTGACAAATTCAAGCATTCAAACTTCTAACAAAATCTCCTTTCTTTCTATCTCATTTCAACCCACCGAGGACCTGTACACACCTTTACTCCTCTGTCTCCGTTTCCTTGTATGTTTCTCCGGGAACTTTATATATATAGGATTCCATGGTAAATACTGTTGTATCTTCATTCGCTAAACCTAAAGTTTTTATGATTTATCTATTTATTATTATTATATAATTATTATATAATAATTATACATTTGTTTATATATTTATCTATTATCTATTTATCTATTTATTTATATATTTGTCGTTCATTCCTTTTTACTCCTGAATGGTATTACTGAATACATCACATTTCGTTTATTCTCCTCTTGATGGACATTTAGCTTATTTCCAATTTTTGCTGTCATGAGTAGAGCTGCTATGAACTTTCTTGTAAAAATCTTTGTGTGACTATGTGTTTTCATTTCTCTTAGGTAAACATCTAAGACTGGAATTTCTGGATATTACGGTAGGTGTGTGTTTAACTTCATAAGAAACTGCCAAACAGTTTTCCAGAGTCATTTCCCATCACCAGTGACTAAGAGCTGGAGTTGCTTGGCATCGTCTCAACATTTAATATTTGTACTGGTTAGTTTTTGCTTCATAACAAATCTCTACATAACTTAGCGCCATAAAATAACACCAATCTGAGCCAACTCACTGGAACTTGACGGCTTAGGACAGCCTCACTTGTGTGTTTGGTGATTACCTCATCATCAGCTGGGATGACAGGCATGACTTGGCTTTGTGTGTTTCAGAGGCTGGCCAGGACTCATCCACATGGCTTGCTGGTTAAAGTCAGCAGATTAAAGCAAGCTCCATTCCACTTCCACTTTCTAATCCTCTGCTTGGTTCATGTTTGTTAATGTCCTAGTAGCCAAAGAAAGTCATGTGGCCAAGAACACATTTAAGGCATGGGGAAATGGATTCCACCTTTAATAGAAAGAACTGAAAAATCACATTGGAAAGGAGTACTGCTGCAGGGATAGGAAGTATTTGAGGCCTTTTAGCAATCTACCGTTTAGCAGTCTTTGATCACAAAGAATTTATAGTCTTTTCCCATGAAAAAATATAATCCTGTCATTCCAGAGCCCCCAAAGTTTCATTTCAATGATGGCATCAGTCTCAGAATTGAGAATATAGTTATCTAAATCAGATCCAAATGCAGATGAGGTTCCAAGAACTATAGTCATCAAGCGTTCGTCTGGGAAACAGAGCTAGCATGAGTGTTAGTGGAATAAGGGATTCATTGTAGGAATTAGATCTTACACAAAAGTGAAAATATGGAGTAAATGGAAGGGTTGAGATCAGAAAAAGAGTCATTCATGAGTCTACCTAAAGTACTGGTGCAGGTAGACAAGTTAGAGCTTGCAGGGAAGTCTGAGAAACTAAACATCCACTGCAGTAGGACCAAGAAAAGGAAGTTCATGGCGAGCTCTATGGGAACTTGTTGTCTTTGTGTAGCTACCAATTTTGTGGGTCCAGAGCCAAGCATGGTAGACCTGGGGTTGCTGTTGATCACCCTGGAAGATGAGTTGGACAACCTTGTAAAATGAGGTCATGCCATAACTCAGTGAATACATCTGCACCAGTCTGGCACTAAATCTGACACCAGCAAACTTTTGAGAGTAATGTCTACTGCTTTATTTATATAAATTATACAAAAGTTTCTCTTTGGGCCAAATCTAAAACAGAAAAGGAAATTCTAGGAAATATAGTCTTCAGCTTAACCAGGTTGACATAGAAAAATACAGTATACTGTTATTAGTTTTATTTTTTTTATTTTAGCATTGTACTAGGTATGTGTATACTCATTATATCTCATTGGGTTTCAATTTACACAACCCTAATGACTGTGCTTATTGGCCATTAATATTCCTTATTTTGTGGTCGTCTATGTTTTGTGCGAATTTTTATTAAGTTTTTTGTCTTTTTATTATTGAATTTTAGCAAATCTTTATATAGTCTAAATACAAATCCTTTGTTGTATAAATACATTGCAATGCTTTTATCCCATCGAGGTTTGCCTTCTAATTTTCTTAGTAATGACTATTTTTGAAAAGAAGTTTTTACTTTTAAGGAAGTTCAGTTTATTAAACTTTTTATTACGTTTAATGATTTCTGTGTTCTAAGAAATCATTGAACACCTGAAGTTTGCAAAGATATTATCCAGTATTTTCTTTAAGGAGACTTTTAGATTGAATTTTTATGTTTAGATCTGTATCCCATCTTGAGTTAATTTCTGTATATGGAGTGAGGTATTGGTCAAGCTTCTTTTTTTTTTTCATGTAGACAGCCAGTTCTTCTGGTACTATATATTGAAAACCATATATAATTTCTTTGTCCACATTAAATTTCATTGGTGCCTTTATAAAAATAAAATTACCACACTTCATTGTGTATCTATTTCTGGACTTCCTGTTTTTACTAATCCATTCTTCTATTCCATATCAATAATTATTATGACTTTATAGTAATTCTTAAAATAATACAAATCTTGCACATTTTTTCTATTTAAATATTTTAAAAAATTATTCTGGGTCGCTGGCAATTCTTTATAAATAGTACCAGACTGTCAATTTATGCCAAAAAATAACCTGCTTGAATTTTGGTTGGAAATGTGTTGAATCTATAGAATTGGGGGGAAATTGACATTTTTACAATATTGAGTCTTCTAATATGTGAACATGAGGTACTTCTTTTTTTTTTTTGATTCACATTTAAAAAGAATTTTTATTGGAGTGTAATTGCTTTACAATGTTGTGTTATATATAACGAAGTGAATCAGCTCTTTGTATACATATATCCCCTCCCTCTTGGACCTCTCTCCCACATCCCCCATCCCACTCATCTAGGTCATCCCAGAGCACCTCATTTATTTAGTCTTCCTTAATTTTAGCAATAAGATTTTCCGGTAGAAGCCTTATACAGCTTTTCTTATATTTATTACCAAGAATTTTTCTTGCTGGCATGGTAAGTGACATTGTTTTTAAATTCTCACCCCCATCCCAGACTATTGTCAATAGGACAGCCAAATTATTATTATTAAAAACAAAATTAGATGTTACTCTTCATATCATAACCAACAAATGCCTTCTTCTATTAAGCATAACAGACACCACAGTCATTTTAATAGCCTAAAAGTTCAGCTTGTTTCACCTCCTACCATTATTCCCCTGTTCCCTCTCCAGCAACCACACTGTTTCTCCACATGCCGCCCTCGTCAGAGGCTTCATTGTTGCTTCCTTTGTCTGTGGCAGCCGACCCCAAATATATGCATGGCTTCTTCCTTCACTGTCTTCAGGCCTCTCCTCACATGTCACCATGTCTTCTGACTCCTGACCACTTTATGTGGAATAAACCTGACTCAGCCCCTCAGCACCACCCCATCCTACTTACCTGGGCAGCCTTACATTTTCATTTGTCCAAGCTGGATGCCCCAGCTTATGCCTGCTGACCTGACTTCCCATCTAGTTTTCAACTCCTTTTATTCTAAAAAGTGTCCCAATTTGAAAAATAAATTACTTATCACCCTATCCTTATCTTGATTCACTTTTCTTCATAGCACTTATCAATTATGTGCCATATTGTACATTTGCATGTTTGTTTTCTAGCTCCCCCAAAGGGACTGTAAATTCCATGTGACAGAGTCTTTATTTTTATTGTTGACTGTTTTATCACCAACACGTAGAATATCACCCAACTTAATTTGTTGTGTTAAGTAAATGATTAATAAGTATACTAGCTGAGTGACTTTGGGAACTGTTTGAACTTCCGGTTTTTCCTCTTTCTGTAAAATGAAGTCCTAGATTAAATGAGGCCGTTAAGGCCATTCCAGCTCTAAAATACAATAATTGCTTGTGAAACCTCATTCCTTTTTGATACAAGTTTCATTTAAGTCAACAGTGTAGAGGAAGAACACTAGAGCAATAATTTTCATAAGCTAGAGTAATCCTCCAAAGCAATAAAAGACATCATCCTAAAGTAGAATTTCACTTAAGCAGCATGGATTGATTTAAAAATATTTACCTGGGTGACAACTTGCAGGGAGACTCAAGCATAAATCCATATTAATCATTTTCTGACCTAATTGAGTTTTTCCATACATTCCTGTAATATTTAAAAATATTTTTATGGGATAGGTAAAGTTATTTATGGAATTCATCTTATGATAAAGACCCCCCCAAATTTCTATCTCCAGCCCAGACCTGTCACCTGAATTCCAGACTCATTTATCCAAATGCCTGTGAACTCTCTACTTGCATTTCTAATAGGCATCTCAAACCGAACACATTCAAACCTGAACTCCTAATTTTCTCCCTGAACTTTCTGCTCTCAAAGTCTTTCTCACTTCAGTGGATGGCAGTTCTGTTTTTACAATTGCTCAGGCTAAAATCCTTGCTGTCACCCTTGATTCCTCTTTTATCTTACACTCTATCAGAAGATCCTTTTAGCTATTCCTTCAAATGCACCAAGGATCAGACCGGTTCTCACCCTCCTATACTTTTGCCCTAGTGTAGCCAATACTGCATTTCTCTGAATTACTGCAGTAGCATTTTAACTAGTTTTCCCTAGCTTCTGCCCTACTCATCCCTCAATACCCACCCATGTGTATTTTCAATAAAGCACCCTGAAAGATCATTTTAAAGCCTAAACCAGATTATGTCACTTCTCTGCCCCAAATCCTCTAATTGCTTCCACCTGACTCAGAATAAATGCCATGTTCCTAATAGGAGCCAGTAGGATCTGCCACCCTGATGCCTCTCTGACTTCATCTTCTCTACTTTTCTTCTTGTTCTATTTGTTCTAGTCACAGAGGCAGAGAACGCACCACATAACCTCCCACCTCAAAAAATTACTTGCTATTGACCTTGCTTAGAATACGCATCCCCTCAGAGGTCTGCATGGCCTGATGTCTTATACACTTTAGGTCTCTCCTCAAATGTCACATTACCAGAGTGGTCATTCCTGTGCCCTCAATATAATATAGCAACTTCCTCCCTAGTTCACACATTTCCTATTTCTATTACCCTACTTCCTTTTTTCTGCTTAGTAGTTAGCCCCACTTGACATACTGGAACAACATGATATATTTTGTGTCTGTTTGTTTTCTCTCCCCGTCTCCTAGAATGTAAGTTCATGAGGTATACAGCATTGTTTCAGTAAAGCTAACTTACTTTAAATGAGTTAGCTTTAAATTAATGTGCATTAACCACTTCCCTGGTGGTCTGGTGGTTAAGACTCTGCACTTTCACTGCAGGGAAAGTGGGTTTGACCCCTGGTTAGGGAACTAAGATTCCATATGCCATGCAGCATATGGGATCTTATTATGGGATCATACTTAAATTAAAAAAAAAATTTTTTTTAACTTGTTTATGAAGCTGAGAATATGCACAAATGCAAACAGTGTAAAATGCCCAGTCACACTTGTAAGCATCATCCTCCAGTTGAGCAACACACGCTTGAAGTCTAGGGGGACGGCAAGGTTGATGTCAATCCTTCTTAGCTCTCAGAGGAGAGGAAAGGGGTGGCAGAATCAAAGGTGTTTTGATGCTTTCCCACTTTTTCCAGTGCACTGATCACTTTTGCTGTTTTAGCTCTGCAAACAACCCAGGAAGTGTAGACCTTACACTACCTTCTAGCTGTTTAGAGTTCTCCAGTGCAGCACCCTACTCAAGACCTTCCACACCAAAGTGTACATTAATCCTGGAAGTGCTGATGTCTATGTTAGCACAGAAGAGGATCTGGAACTTCATCTAGTTCAGCCTACAATTTTCTAAGTGAGGAAACTGGAACTCAGGGAGGTGAAATGACTTATCGGGAAGCACTCAGAGGTGGCCTCAGAGTCCAAGCCTCCAGTTCCCCATTCCTGTTCATCTATAATGCACTGTATTTTATCAGCCTGTTATTCACATTGAATAAATATAGGAAATTACCTAAAAGTTCAACAGTAGGACAATGGTTACGTATATTCATATGATGCCTTACTACACAGCTATTAAAAATCATCACGTAGAAAATCACTAAATGACATGGGAAGTACTGGCAGCTTAGCTAAGTGAACAAAAGTTAAATAACATAACCTCAATTATATAAAATAGTTGTGTAAATGATGAGAAGGCTCTACACATCAAAAAGTTATCAGTGGTTACTTCTGGAAGATGGGACTAGAGATTTTTTAAACTTGTTTTTACACTTTCATAATTCCAAAATCAAAACATTTAAATAAGAGTCCATTTTGAACTTTTCCCCTGCATTTCACTTCCAATGAACTTTAAGGTCTACATTTTTAAGCACTGGAATATATTTATATGTGCTAACTTTTTTTGTATAAATAGCATGTGTAAGATATATGTGAGGTATATATGTGTGGAAAATTCAACAAGCTTCATGGATGTGTAGAATTACTAGCAATTAAGTCAAAAGAGAGAATGGCTTGTAACTATCTTAACCAGGTTTATAAGGTAAAGGTTTTGGGGGAGAATAATATACCTTATTATAATCATGAAGCCTTACTATTTTCTTTTTAATTCTCATGTTAAAAAATTATACTTCATTATTATACAAAATTATTACCCTCCAAAATGTTTTTAAAATTATTTAAAGCCCTTATAAATCATCATAACACAAAATTCTGTTAGTCTCTTCTTCGCAACTGCAGCTTTTGCCAAGTCTTTTTAGAACTTTTATGTAGACAAATAGTGCTGCTTCTTAGGAGAAGGACCATACTTAGTTTTGTTTTGCTTTGTTTTTGTTTTTCAAAGCATATGCATCTCAACCAATCTTGACAACAATCAGTTTATAACCATTGTTCAGATAAGTAAAATGACTTCAGAGTCTAAATAGCTTGCCAAACATCATACCTCTAGCATGTGATGGAGCTAAGTCGGAGCCCAAGTCTACATGTCTATAAACTCACGTAATGCTGTTTATACAGAATATTTTATTTTTATTAAAGTATAGTTGATTTACAATATTACATTAGCTTCAGGTGTACAGCATAGTGATCAGCATAGTGATCGCTATTTTTGCAGATTATACTCCATTATAAATTATTGCAAGATAATAGCTATAATTCCCTGTGCTATACAATGTATCCTTGTTGCTTATCTATTTCATACATAGTAGTTTGTATCTGTTAATCTCATACCTCTAATTTGTCCCTTCTCCCTTCCCTCTCCCCTTTGGTAACCACAAGTTTGATTTCTATATCTGTGAGTCTGTTTCTGTTTTGCATATATATTCATTCATATTATTTTTTAGATTCCACATATAAATGATATCATACAGTATTTGTCTTTCTCTGACTTATTTCACTAAGCATAAGTGAAATAAGGTTCATCCTCATTGCTGCAAATGGCAGAATTTCATTGTTTTTCATGGATGAGTTATATATATATATATATATATATATATATATATATATATATATATATATATATATTTTTTTATATATGTCACTTCTTCTTAATCCAGTTGTCTATACAGAATATTTTACATTAATGTGGTGGCATTTCTTCACACAAGTGATAAAATGGGGAAGTTTATCCTAATCTTTCACTCTTCTTAGGCCCCTCAAAGTGCCATCTCCCACTATCCAGAACTTCTTACTGTAGTTTGTCACCAGGGGCTGCTCCATGATCCAGATCTGAATTGTCATTCCACCCCCATCACCTCAGCTAGATACTTGTTTCCAATAAAACATGCTGAGGACATCCCCTTGGATAACCTTACTCAGGGCTGCCTTAGTGCTTGATTCACATGTTTTCTATAGAATTCATTGTATTGTCTTATAAATATCAGTGCTAGTTTTTGTTTGCCCCACAAGATTATGAGCTCTTCAGGGGCAGAAACCAAATCTTATTCATCTATTTAGAAATACCCAATGCAGAAAATGAGACCTCCAGGTAAACTAAACCTCCAAATAAACACAATTAGTTTCAAGTTACAAAAGAGACAAATCATTATTACCCAAAGTGTATGACCCAGCATAAGACAAGGAAAAATTCACAATGTCTTGTGCTGATAAGAAACATAGCAAATAAAAGAATAAATATATCCCATTAGGAGGAAAAACAAAATTAAATCAACTGAAATCATCCTAGATATGACATAGATGACAAATTTAATAGATAACGTCATTAAAAGTTATTATAACTATATTTAATATTCTTAAGGTGGCAATAGCCATCCAGTTTCTCAGTCTTTCTAATTACTTTTTCCTGACCCTCCCATAGGCCTGAGATACATATGTTTGTGCATTCTCTTCTGCTAATATCCTGTCCTAGTTTACCACGGGTCAGTGTTGAGCAGTTGCACTTCAGTTCTACATCAGGGCTGCCAGTGTGCTCCACCTCTCGCCAGCAATGGGCTTCTCAATACCTGTTGGTCAGCCGTGAAGTTCCCTTTCAAGATCTTCCTTTAAACCGTGATTTTAATCAATTTTGTTATGATGTCCCTGGGTGTAGATGTCTCCATGTTTTTTGCGCTTGGTTAGGGTTTATTGAATTTCTGAGATTTATAGCTTTAACAAAATTTGGAAAAATTTCAATCATTATTTTTGCATCTATTTTCTTCTGGATCTTCTCCTAACCCCCAGGCCTGTCCTCCTTGCCCATTTATTCAGGGACTCCAGCTGCATGTGTATTAGTCTATTTAAAGTTGTTCCACAGCTCCCTGATGTCCTGTTCTGTTTTGTTTTTTTCCTCTGTGTTTCACGTTGGATTGTCTCTGTTGCTGTGTCTTCAAATTAACTAATCTGTTCTTCTGCAATGCCTAATCTGCCATTCATCCCATCCAGTGTATCTTTTCGACATAGACATCATATGTGTAGTTTTAGGTGTTCTTAAGAGGAACTTAACATATTTAATCTTTCTTCCAGCTTCTTGAACATATGTCATGCTGTGATAACAGCTATTTTAACATCCTGTCTGCTAATTCTGTCATCCATGTTTTATTCTGAGTCATTTTCAATTGGTTCATTTCTTTTCTCCTTTTAATGGGACATATTTTCCTGCTTCTATTTTTTATGCTTGGTAAGTTTTATTGGATACCAGTCTTTTTGAATTGTACCTGTTGGGTACTAGTTATTTTTGTACTCCTATAAATATTC